GATCGACCCAGCTCTGGCCGTTGCGGCCACTTGGGGGGCGTGAACCAGCAGATGAAAGATCTCTCTCTCATTTTTTTTCTGCTCTCCTTCTCTCTCTCTCTCTCTGCCCCTGCCTCTCTGTAAGTCTGCCTTTCAAATAAATAAATAAACTTAAAAAAGTTAATCATGTTCTCCAGGAACTGGCAGTGCCAAATGAACTATGAGCCAGAACAAATTCAGTCTGTGGCTGAAACTGAAAATAACCCTTGGAAATGGGCTGAGCAAATGGCTCAGCCCCCAAAGGGGCACATGCCCCAACACCCACCTCAGGTGCAGCCAGGGCTAACGGTGAAGGTAAAGCTTCCTGAGGGTGGAGCAAGGGGCCTGCAAACAGTGGACCAGCGAAGCCTGTGCGGTCAGCAGGACTGAATTTTTCCAGGAATATCCTCACTCAGGCAGGGGGCAGTGTCCACCCAGCAGGATTTCAGAATCGCTGTGGGTCCTGTCTGCTTGGTGTCTCCTACTGCTCCCCTCCTGAACTGGGCTGTCTGCTGTGTTGTTCTGTCCCCCTGCACCACTGTGTGTGCATGGGGTGTGTGCTCAGGGAGCAACACTTTCTGTTGCTGTAACAGGATACCTGAGGTTGGGTCCTTGATAAAGAAAAAGGTTTATTTAGCTCATAGTTTTGGAGGCAGAATGCTCAAGAGTTGTGAGAGCCCCCTAGCTGCATCGACACAGGGCAGAGGGCGTCACCGTGGCACACGTGCGAGAGACGGAGACGGAACTCAAAGGTCAGGCTTGCTTTTTGTTACCACCCATTCTCGTTGGAACTCACTCACTGCACAAGAGCAGCTTCTGAGAGCAGGGCCACAGCGCCCTAAGCCCTTCCCACTAGACCCCACCTCCTAAAGGTCCTACCACCTCTTCATATCGCCACATTAGGGACCAAGCCACCAGCACAGGGAGCCCTCGGAGGTGGGGGGGGGGGGCTTGAGCCACAAGAAAAAACCACGGATCCTCCCACAGATGTTTCCACAGAATGTCCTTTGCCCTGAATTCTTGGGCCTCTAGACCCAGAGTTGAAAGGCAGGTGAGATTGGGTCAGGCCCACTTGGGTAGGGGGAAAACGTGTGTGTGTGTGTGTGTGTGTTTTAAAGATTTATTTATTTATTTGAAAGTCAGAGGTACACAGAGAGGAGAGGCAGAGAGAGAGAGAGAGAAAGTCTTCCATCCAGTGGTTCACTCCCCAATAGGCCTCAACGGCCAGAGCTGCGCCGATCTGACCCCAGGAGCCAGGAGCTTCTTCTGGGTCTCCCACGCGGGTGCAGAGGCCCAAAGACTTGGGCCAGGAAGATGTGCTTTGTGTGTGGGAAAGAACGGTGGTCACACCTGTGGGTTGATGCTCTCCCCTTCTCCCTGCCCTGGTGGCCCCCACCTGCTTGATGTGGCTACTCCATCAGCCTGGGCTCCTCAGGTGCTTCTGGGCAGACACAGGCCACCCACCGAGTGGGCCAGCCTCTCCTGGCACTGGGAGGGTCTCCACTCCACTTCCTGAGGAAGTGTCCATGAGCTGCCGACCCTCCGCGCCTGGCACTGCGGCCCTGGGACGTCCTGTGCCCTGGGCTGCGCGCCCTACTTCCTGGGTCACGTGCCTCCCTCTTTCTTGGTTCACCTCTTCCTTTCGGTCAAGGATGCAGGGAAGGGAAATGTTTGGAGGCCTTGTGCATCTAAAAATCCTTGGTCTGCAGCCTGACTGGGCGGAGGTTAGAGGGCGTTCTTCCTTTCCATTTCCCAAGGCCTTGTTCCCTTCCAACTGTCGTTGCTGCGGAGAAGCACACGGCCATCCTGATTCCAACCTGTCTGCATGTGATGCACTTCTAGCGGCCATTTTTGTCTCTAGCACTCTAGCCTTGCAGCTGGGCTCTCTGAGGGCCCTTTCAACACATTTCATTTTGCATGAAGATTTTTACTGCACTAATTCATTGATTATCTTCTCCCCTGTATTTTCTGTCCACTCTGTTGGACTAGCTATTTCATCAGTGGGCTTTCTGGTTGGTCCTCTTATTTAATTTTTTTAACTTTATTTCCCATTTCATAGGTGGTTGTTTTCTTCTATTTTCATGGAGGTTTTCTCTTCCATCTATTGAAAGTTGTTTTTTTTTTTTTTACATTTCTACTACTTTTTTCTTTTGATAATTTTTGAACATTTAAAAAATATTTAAAAATTTTCTTTGAAAGAGTGCTCCCATTTGCTGGTTTACTCTTACATGCCTGAGACAGCCAGGGCTAGACCAGGCTGAAGCCAGGAGCCTCCATCTGGATCTCCCGTCTGGGTTTCAGCAACCCAACTACTTGAGCCATCGCCTGCTGCTTCCCAAGGTGTACAGTAGTGCAAAGCTAGAATTGCGAGCAGACCTGGGACTTGAACCCAGGCACTCAGATATGGGATGTGGGCATCCCAAGTGGTGTCACAACTTCTGTGCCAAACGTTCACGCTTCTGCTACCTTATTTTAAATCTCCAAGAACTTTTTATTTAACTTCCTCTAAATTAGGTAACTTTCTGGGCCCTGATATCTTTTTCACATTTCTCTGATGACATTATCGATGGCTTGACATTTACTGCTCTCTGCATAGTCTGTTTCCTCCAACTTGCTTTTTAAAAATCTACCGTGGCCTTGTATTTCATGACGCAGGCTTTCCTGAGTTGCCAGGTCAGCCCTGGCTGCCTGCTCATGTTTGTCTGGGAGGGACTGAGACCGGTTAAAGTTCTGTGCATATGAGTGGCAGCATAACCATGACCATGGCCTTCCCTGCTGGGTGGCTGGCTGGACAAACGCACATGTTCCCCCTTGGCCTGGGATTCCAGGACACCACCCTGTAGCTTCTTCAGATAACATTCAGCCTTTTGTTAGGGTGGGGAAGGCACTGTCAGGGACCTGGGCTCCCCAAGCAGACTTTAGCCAGCCCTCTGACCTCAGCACTGTGCCACTCCCACGTGCAGTGGCTCCCAGGGCTACCCGTTCATGAACCTTCTAGCGAACTATCACATTTTCTCAACTCGGCTACGCATCTCAGGTTCATAAAGTATTGCTGGGAACTTCCTCGCGCTCTCCCCGCCCTTGCGGCTGCTGGCCTTTGCAAATACTCTCTGGAGGATCCAGGGGGAAGTTAAATGAACATCTAGTATCCCTTCTATCACCTTCACCCAGAAGTCACAGCTCCTGTCTCTTCATTCCCCACACACATCCTGGCCCAACGGTTCTTGCCTGCTTTCCCTACTCTTTAATTCCATTTCCTCCATCTGAAATGAGATACTACTCGCACCCTAATATATACGAGTCACCTCTGTTAAATTTCGCCTAAGTGAGAAACATATACACCCACAGCCATGGTGAGATCTCGGGGCAAGAGAACTCGAGAAGATACCTCCTTGTGGGTTTGGGACACAGGTTGCTGGTCTGATGCCCCAGTCAGCGAATTCCATGAGAATTATCAAATGCTCAATGAGGGGGGATTATTGGGAAAACAGCCAAGAGGCTGTGTTTTGTATCTAAGCGTGCCACGCCGCACAGCCGAAACCATCTGGGAGGCCACACTCATGGAGAACCCTTGCATGGGGCGTGGCAATGGGGAGACCCCTGCCCCCGCGCGTCTGCTTTAATCTGGCCCTACCAGCCTGAACAATGCACTCTCTTGGGAGACCCGCTCTCGCGTGTGCCGGCTGCAGCGGGCAGGAGAGGATGAGGGGCAGTAACAGCACAGGGCAGCGACCCGGTGCGGCCGAGGGAATTTGAGGGTTCCGGTCACAGATCGCCAAGGCGCGCATTAGTCGGCGCAAGTTCACAGTTGACGGCATCATGCATCGCTGAATGGCTGCCTTCCTCCTCGGCTACCTGGAGAGCTTAGTCTTTCCTACTCGGGACTCTAATTAACTCGGAGGGAGCTCGGACTCGACCGTCGCTTTGGGGACAGGACGAGTGCGCCCCTGCCCACTGCCTCGCATGGCCCCATCCCCCAGGGCTCCAGGAAGGAATCGCCAAAAAGTGCCACACGCGCAAGGAGCCCGGGCTGCTCCGGAGCGCACGGGGAGGCAGGCACAAGCGGCTCCGAGGCGGTGGGAGCCGGGTTCTCTCCGGTGAAGGCGAGCGGGGGGCGCCGGCGAGCGTCAGGGGCGAGTCGGCCCGGCCCTGCCCAGCCCGGGAGGCCGCGGGCGGGGCGCTGCCCAGCGAGGCCCAGACAGTGGGCGGGTGCGGTGCGGCGCGGCGGGCGGGGTCCTCGCAGCTGGTGGCGTCTGAAGCCGCCCCGACCGCGGCGGGAAGGGGCAGCCCAGGGAAGTTGGCAGCGGGCCGGGGGCGGGGGCGGGGAGGAGAGGGCTCCGCGGTCCCCGCCGCCCCGGCACGCCGTCCACTCCCGCAGGCCCAGGGTCGCCCCGAAGCCGGGGCTCAGCTGGGAGAGGGCGTGGAGGGGCGAGCGGAGTTCGCGCCGCTGCCTGAGGCGAGCCGCCCCCTCGCCGGCGGGGCTGGACAGACAAAAGGGCGCCCTTCAGAGCGCTAGCCAGCCACGCGGGGCTCAAGCGAGGCTGTCGACGCACAAAAGCTCAGGCTGGGACGCGCCTGCCGGAGTCCCCGCGCCGGGGAGCGGCCCCGAGCGGGTGCACCCGGCCCGCCGCCCTGGGACGTCGTGCGTCAGCGCGCCCCGCGCCGGCTCGCCGCCGCCCCCGTTCCAACGAGGGGGCACGCCCACTGGGGTCGCGCAGGCCCCGCGGCGGGGGACGCCCCTCCGGCGGCCCGGATTGGCCGGGCCGAGTGCGCACGGGCCAATGGCACTCGCGCCTGCCCCCAGGCCACGCCCCTTCCCAGGGGCGGGCGCGCGACCGCTCCGTGCGGCCGGTGCGCGCTCCGGGATCCCCGCCCCCTCCGCGCGCTGCTCCCCGCGGCCGCCGCCGCCCGTAACCTGCGCCGCCAGGATGTGGCTGGGGGCTGACGTCGGGTCCAGATGTGGCCCCGGCCCCGCCCACCCTCGGGGCCGGGCCGCCCACACCGAGCCGCGGCGCGCACGGCGGCTGTCCCGCCTGCCACAATGCGCGGCGAGGCTGCGGCCGCGGCTTGACGCGGGCGTCCCTGACGTCGCCGCTCGGCATCCTTAGGACAGGCCGCCCCCGAGGCCGCGCGGAGCCCCCTGGCCCGCGCCCCCCCATGCGCTCACGCCTCGGTGGCCGGCCGGGCGGACGCGGAGCCGCGCGGGTGACGGCAGACAGAGGCGGCTGCGCGCCCAGCCTAGCCCAGCCCAGCCGAGGAGAGGGCGCGCCGCGCCCCCGCCCCCCGCCCGCTCTCCGGAGGCCGTGGGTGCGGATGCGCGGCTGACGACTCGCAGCGACCAGCACTGGAGCCCGCAGCATGGCAGCCGCCGCCTATGTGGACCACTTCGCCGCCGAGTGCCTCGTGTCCATGTCCAGCCGCGCGGTCGTGCACGGGCCGCGGGAGGCGCCGGAGCCCCGGCCCGAGGGTGCGGCCGCCGCCGCCGCCGCCGCCCCCGCGATGCCCCGCGCCGACGAGCGCCGCGACGGCAAGGACAGCGCCTCGCTGTTCGTGGTGGCGCGGATCCTAGCGGACCTCAACCAGCAGGCGCCGGCACCCGCCGCGGCGGAGCGCAGAGAGGGGGCCGCGGCCCGAAAGGCGAGGACCCCGTGCCGCCTGCCGCCCGCCTCCCCCGGCGGCGAGGGCGCCGCGGCCGCGCCCCCCAGCCCCGCGTGGAGCGAGCCCGAGCGGGAGCCGGCGCCCGCGGGGAGCGGCGAGCCCGGCCTCAGACAAAGGGGCCGGCGGGGCCGGAGCCGCGCCGACCTCGAGTCCCCGCAGAGGAAGCACAAGTGCCACTACGCGGGCTGCGAGAAAGTTTACGGGAAATCCTCGCACCTCAAGGCGCACCTGAGAACTCACACAGGTCAGTGGGCGGCCCGGGCCCCCCGAGCGCGCGGGCTGGGGGCCACGCCCCCCGGGGCGGCCAGGGCCGCGCCCCGAGCTCGCGCGGCGCGAGGCGGCCCCGGGCCCTCGGAGCCGGCGCCCGCCCGGCGACCGCGCCCCCGCCGGGCACGCCCCCTCCCCGGGCGCGCTGGGGCGGGGCCGTGGGGGTGGATGTCGTCATCCGGGCCGGAGCGGGGACCCCGCCCAGGCCGGGGGGCGGCGCGGGCAGGTGCGCGCGCGCCGCTCGCGGCGGGGGCGGCCCGGGCGCGGGGCTGGGGGCTCCCAGCGGGTGTCCGGCCGGCCGGGCGCGCTCTCGGGGTGTGGGGGGGAGGTGCGCGGCGGGCGAAGTTCACTCCGGGACAGGGCTCTCTTCGGCCACTCGGCACATTCTTCGCTCTCCTCTTCCTGTAATTTTTCCAGCGCTCTAAGGTTTAATTTGTCGTAACCGGAGCCGGCGGCCGCGCTAGCCGACGCGGGGGGCGGTCCCGGGTCCCTGCTCCCCGCCCGCGGTTCTTTGTGGGCGCCCCCGCCCATCCGGCCGGCGGGGCCGCGCCCGGCCCGAGGGGCTGCGGGGCGGGCGGCCCCCGCTCTCACCTGCCCGAGGCCGGATGCGGGCAGGCAGCACCTGCGCGAGGGTGGCCCGCGACGGCACGTCCCGTCGCCGACCCGGTGGTTTGTAGTTGATTAATCTCTGGGTGTGTTTTTTCTATTTTCTTTGAATTTAACGCAAAAATGCAAACGTTGGACGGATGGCAACTACCCATCCCGGTTCTGGTTTACATAATTAACGTGGTTCCCTAGAGCTCACGTGCGATCCTTGGCGACACTTAAGTTCTCCATCTCCCTGGCAGGTACAAAACTTGGCTCTTCATGCCGTGACTTTGTTTTCAAGGGCTGTGCCTTCTCCTCCGTGAAATAGTGCACAGCCCGATCGAAACGGGTAAAGTGCACCTTCAAAACCCTAGCAGAGAGGGCCCCTTGCTCCCCGCACATTCGGAGCCCAGCAGGCCGGGCTCTGCAGGTGCGGAGCCCCCGGCCACGTGGCAGGTGCGGAGGTTGAGGGGGACGCGGGTCAGAGTTACCGCAGCGTGGGCCCAGTTGCGGGTGGGATTAGGGTAAGGGTTCAGCTGGGGTGAGCGGCGGCGAGGGTGGGTGCGGCTGTGGGGGAGGGGCGGCATGGAGGACCCGGGAGGGGCAGAGCTTGGGGAGTGGCTGCGGGGCGAGGTCTGCCTGTGGCCGGCGAGGCTCGAACTGGGCGGGGACGCCGGTGTCTGAGGAGCCCCGCCGCTGCAGGCCGCCCTCCGGCCGGACCGGAGTATCGGCCCGAGAACCGCCGTGGGCGGGGCCTCGGCCAGGGGACATCTTTCTGGTCGGCTGGCGCACTCCTCCACTCTCAGTCGGCCCATGGGTTGGAGAAAGAGCCCGGGGCGGCGGGGACCGCGGCCTCCCTCGTGGGGTGAGGGCCCTGCCCTCGAAGCTCCTAGGAGCCCAAGACAGGCTGCGGCGGGTGGAACCGACCCCCTGGGTGCTTGCGGAGAGCCGCTGGGACGTCTGAGACGTCCAGGGACCTGAAGCTCAGGGTTCTGGGCGAGGAGTGGCTGGCGGGGCAGAATGCAGTCTCCCAGGCCCCAGGTGCCAGCCTATACATCGAGTAGCCTGCAGCTTGGATCCGCGGTTTAGCTGGTGCCCTAGGTGAATCCGGCTGTGAGAGCTGCACGTCCCAAGAAGCTGCCTCTGGCCGGAGTCTGGTTCAGCCCTGATTCAGGGCAGTTTGGGAAGCCCTATTCCTGCCCTTGCTCAGGTATGCAGAGTATAAGTGACTGGTGTTGGTAGGGAGAGAAGGGGCACCCACGGGAGGAGGAAGCAGCCAGGCTGGCCCCTGAGGCCAGGCTCCTGTGGCTCCCTGGCTCTCAGGTGGCTGTCGGGTCTTAGGTCTGCAGGTGGGGGATCCTCCTCCACCTCCAGGCACCATTGTGATTTCTTTGCAGGGGGTGAATACCAAAGCCATCTTAGCAGGGAAGGTGGCTGGCAGGTCTGTGCTGTTTAGCTCTGTGACCCGGGAGGGGGCTCCCCGACATCCTGCAGCTTGGTGGTCGCTGCCCAGACCACCTGGACAGTCTGGAGGAAATGAGGTCACGTGTGTGTATACACGTGCTGCCAAAGCGAGCACGAGGTCATGTATGTGAAAACCCTTTGGGAAGTACAGGGTTCAGCCTTGCTTCTGGGGACACCTGGTGTCTTTCTGCCCCAGCTCTGTTCTCCCCCTCCCCCACCACACCCCAGCAGCTGCTTACAAAGAGCTGTCTGCTGGTTGGCTGTGTGGCCCTGGGTTCTGTGATCTCTCTTAGTAGTTACTTGGTGGATAGGTTACCTCTCATGTAGCAGTAATTGTTGATGTAACAAGTGCTCGGCAAGACAAACCAAAGAAGCAAGCATGCTTGCCGCTCAGGCCAGGTGGTTACTCAGACCTGGGGAGATTGCTGAGGGGAGTAGGAAGACCAGGGGCTTTGCTGTGGGAATTCCAGACTTGCAGAAGGCCAAGCCTGACGGCCAAGTCCTGAATCTGAGGATCCCAGGTGGTTGTCGCCGGCCTGGCAGAGTGGCCACTCCATCTTTCTTGGCAGAGTACCTGTTCCCACCAAGCATTGTTTTCCCTTGCTGAGAGCCCTCCCAGCGGGGCCAGGGGAAGGGGATGGGTGGCAGGAAGATGGGTGCCTTGCTGTGCTAGCCCTGCCCCCCAGACCTTGAGTTGTGCTTGTGCCCCCCTACCCCCATGGGGTGGGGGTGGAGGGAAAGTGAGATCAGATCCCATTCTCGGCCGCTTCCTGGGGCAGTTGGGGCGGGCTCGGCATAGCCCTTGGCCTCTTGGGGCAGGATCTGGTCCTGGGCGAGATGGTTGTTAAGGAGCCCTCCCCCAGCATGCAGGCCTTAGAGCAGACTCCTCACAGGTGCTCCCTGTCCCTTGGAAAGGCAGCCGGTCAGCGCGGAGGGTGACTGGGCGGGATCTCCTTTCTCAGGGCAAAGCCCTGCTGGAAACTGGCCAGTGCTTTGTCCAAGGACACGCCCAGGCCAGTGGCTCTCGCCCCTGCACCCCCACAGTCCCGGGTTGCCTGTAGGCCCCGTTGTGAAACTGAACAATGCAGAAGTGTGTGGCAGGAACTTGCCAGCCAGGCCTCCACCCCAGCTAACCAGGGGATGCCGTATGCTGGCCTGCCTCTGTCTCCAGACCTTGGGGATGGGTTTAGGTGGATGTGTGCATGTGCAGCCTCATAGATACTTAAAAAAATACATGGATAGGATGGTAGCAGGCATAGAACACATGGATAGGATGGTAGTTGGCATATTCCCAGCAGGCTTTTGTTGGATGTCTTCGTTCTTGTCCACGGCTGCAGGGCTGTTCCCAGGTGTGGCTATGGCTGTACTCTCACCTCTCACCTCTTCACTTGTTGGAAGGACAGCTGTGTGGCTGCATTTTTGGTTCTTGGCTGCTATGTGCTGTGCAGCAGTAGGCTCTGGGGTGTGTGTGTGTGTGTGTGTGTGGTGGCGCAGAGGAGCTGGTACTAATTTCGGTAGAGTTTCCTCTGCAATTTTTTTGCCTAACTCTTCCCTGAGACCGCACTATCTCCACTTTTTTTTTTTTTTTTTTGACAGGCAGAGTGGACAGTGAGAGAGAGAGAGAAAGGTCTTCCTTTGCCGTTGGTTCACCCTCCAATGGCCGCCGCAGCTGATGCGCTGCGGCCTGCGCACCGCGCTGATCCGAAGGCAGGAGCCAGGTGCTTCTCCTGGTCTCCATGGGGTGCAGGGCCCAAGCACTTGGGCCATCCTCCACTGCACTCCTGGGCCACAGCAGAGAGCTGGCCTGGAAGAGGGGCAACCGGGACAGAATCCGGTGCCCCAACCGGGACTAGAACCCGGCGTGCTGGCACCGCAGGTGAAAGATTAGCCTAGTGAGCCGCGGTGCCGGCCTTCTCCACTTTTTTTAAACTATCTTCTGGACTGGAGCAGTAAGCTCCCTCCTTACTCTGCCATCTTGGAACCTCCACTCATACTTCTATAAAGAAACTTTTTTTTTTTTTAATTTATTTGACAGGTAGAGTCTTAGACAGTAGGTTTAGACCTAGCAGTGTCACTGGTAGTGTGGATGAATGTTGATTAATTCTGACCTGAAGGTATTGTGTTGATTTAAAGGGCACAGTGTCTGGTTGGGTTTTTTGGCATTATGTTTTTAAAGGAAATGGCCTACAGTTTTTAATCTACCATGTGCTGGGGAAGAGACCTGCTATGCCACTGCTCTACTTTTTGAAAAAGTTATACCTCTCCCAGTTCTTTGGCTCTTAGGAGAGTTTTGGAATCAGGATCCCTATTGAAAACATTTAAACATCAACAAAACCAGCCGCGCCTTCAGGCTTGCTCCGAAGGCCTGCCAGGGCCTGGCCGTTCTTTTTTTCCAGAGTCTGGGAGCACTTGGTGGTGGGCACTGCAGCTGTTAGGTGTGGTATCTGGGCACATGGACGCTGCGGCGGTAGGGAAGTTGGTGTGGGGCCATCTCACCCCGCCCTCTCTGGCTGACAAGGCTGGAGGCTGTCCTGCCTGAGTGAGCTGATAGGACCACAGCTCGCTTAACCAGAGGCCCTGGGTCTGTGAACACAACCCAGTGCTGGGCCGATGCCTTCAGAATAGGGGCCGTAAGGTTGTAGCATCAGAATGGTGTTGTGACAGCTGGTGGTGCCTTTCGGTATGTTTCTTTCTTTCTTTTTTAGAAAATTTTTTTAAAAAGATTTATTTATTTACTTGAAAGCGTGACAGAGAGGGAGAGGGAGAGGGAGAGAGAGGTCTTCTATGCTGGTTCACTCCCAAGTGGTTACAACAGCCAGGGCTGAGTCAGGTCGAAGCCAGGAGCTAGGAGCTTCATCTGGGTCTCCCATGTGGATGGCAGGGGCCCAAACAGTTGGGGCATCTTCTGCTGCTTTTCCCAGGCCA